TCTGGAATAGAGCTCCCATTGCTCCTAATATCTGGAACACAGCTTCCATCAGCCCTGACAGCTGGAATGGAGCTCCCATCGCTCCTGACATCTGGAACACGGCTTCCATCAGCCCTGACATCTGGAATGGAGCTCCCATCGCTCCTGACATCTGGAACACAGCTTTCATCAGCCCTGACATCTGGAATGGAGCTCCCATCGCTCCTGATATCTGGAACACAACTTCCATCAGCCCTGACATCTGGAATGGAGCTCCCATCGCTCCTGATATCTGGAACACAGCTTCCATCAGCCCTGACATCTGGAATGGAGCTCCCATCGCTCCTGATATCTGGAACACAGCTTTCATCAGCCCTAACATCTGGAATGGAGCTCCCATCGCTCCTGATATCTGGAACACAACTTCCATCAGCCCTAACATCTGGAATGGAGCTCCCATTGCTCCTGATATCTGGAACACGACTTCCATCAGCCCTAACATTTGGAATGGAACTCCCATCGCTCCTGACATCTGGAACACAGCTTCCATCAGCCCTGACATCTGGAATAGAGCTCCCACTGCTCCTAACATCTGGAACACAGCTTCCATCAGCCCTGACATCTGGAATAGAGCTCCCATCGCTCCTGACATCTGGAACACAGCTTCCATCAGCCCTGACATCTGGAATGGAGCTCCCATCGCTCCTGACATCTGGAACACGACTTCCATCAGCCCTGACATCTGGAATGGAGCTCCCATCGCTCCTGACATCTGGAACACAGCTTTCATCAGCCCTGACATCTGGAATGGAGCTCCCATCGCTCCTGACATCTGGAACACAGCTCTCATCAGCCCTGACATCTGGAATGGAGCTCCCATCGCTCCTGGCATCTGGAACACAGCTCTCATCAGCCCTGACATCTGGAATGGAGCTCCCATCGCTCCTGACATCTGGAACACAGCTTTCATCAGCCCTGACATCTGGAATGGAGCTCCCATTGCTCCTGACATCTGGAACACAGCTTTCACCAGCCCTCACATCTGGAATGGAGCTCCCATTGCTCCTGATATCTGGAACGCAGCTTTCATCAGCCCTAACATCTGGAATGGAGCTCCCATCGCTCCTGGCATCTGGAACACAGCTTTCATCAGCCCTCACATCTGGAATGGAGCTCCCATTGTTCCTGACATCTGGAACACAGCTTTCATCAGCCCTGACATCTGGAATGGAGCTCCCATTGCTCCTGATATCTGGAACACAGCTTTCATCAGCCCTAACATCTGGAATGGAGCTCCCATTGTTCCTGACATCTGGAACACAGCTTTCATCAGCCCTGACATCTGGAATGGAGCTCCCATTGCCCCTGATATCTGGAACACAGCTTTCATCAGCCCTCACATCTGGAATGGAGCTCC